CTGGGGATCAGGAGCCCTTCCTGGGCCTAAGTCGGGATCAGGAGCCCTCCGTGGGCTATACTCGGGAACAGGAGCCCTTCCTGGGCCGAGCTGGGGATCAGGAGCCCTTCCTGGGCCTAAGTCGGGATCAGGAGCCCTCCGTGGGCTATACTCGGGATCAGGAGCCCTTCCTGGGCTGAACTGGGGTCCAGGAGCCCTTCCTGTGCTTAACTCGGGATCAGGATAGCGCTTATGTGGTGCTGGCACTGGAGGGTGCTCTGGAGACGAAGGAGGGCTGGACGGAACCAGCGGAGACTCAGGAAACTCAGGAGACGATGGAGAGCTGGACGGAACCAGCGGAGACGAAGGAGACTCAGGAGACAAACGAAAGCCTTCTAGAGCAGATTCTGGGGTCACATGAACGCTTGGGGCGCTTGCCATATTAATGTTCAGTGGGCTTGCCATATTATAGTCCGGCGGGCTTGCTTTATTAATGTTCGTTGGGCTTGCCATATTAACGGCCGGTGAACTAGAGTAGGGCGCGGACGGCGTGCTGGTTCTGGCTCGGGGCAGGGTGCTGTCCAGACACCGGAGGGTTCCTTCCCTCCAGCTCAGTCCTGTGATGTCTGGGAGGTCCACGGGGCGATGGTAGTTGGCCCCGAGCCAGAACAGAGAATTAATGGTTGCATCATCGAGGGCCGTAGTCGCGGCGAGCCTACAGAACTCCCAGGAATACTCGACAAAGGGGAGATCTAGGCGAGCTAAGGCGGAGAACCGAGCGGCAATGTCCTTAGCCGCGGGGAAAACAAAAACCTTCTCAAAAAGGTGGAAAAATCAAACGTGAGGAAAAGTCGCCACTCACTTTTTGAAGGGTCTGGAATTCTGTCACGGGTTGCTACTGTGAGGAGCACGGAGCGAGGAACGAGGAGACCAGGAGTACAAAACAAAGGGGTTTAATTCTTTTTTTCAGGGAATCACACGCAGCACAAGGAGTTGACAAACAATTACAAACATCACAGGGGATTTATCATTAACACTTGTTTCTCTGGATAATGTTATATGAAGCACCATTACTTCAAACGAGTTATACTTGAAGCCCGCCTTCTGAGAAATACTAAAAATATTGTTATAAATTGTAGCAACACCTCCCACTTTACCTTTTGGATGCGGCTCATGTTTATAACGGTAATCTTGGGGTGTAGACTCATTTAAAATAATGTAACCATCAGGTTTTAGCCAGGTTTCTGTCAAACAGAGCACATCTAGGTTATGATCAGTGATCATATCATTTACAAAAAGTGCTTTCGTAGAAAGGGACCTGTTTTTCAATAAGCCAAGCTTTATCATTTGTTTATCCGTATTACATCTGTTTTTTTATTTGTTGAACATCAATTAAATTGTTACTCTTAAATTGGTTTGGACGTTTTTGGTATTTTCTAGTTCAGAGAACAGACACAGTCTCTATAGTGTGATATCTAGGTAAAAGGGTCTCTATGTGCTGCGAATTAACTGATTTCTGTGACGTGAGGCAGCTAGTAGACGGTCGGTTTAGCCAATCTGTCTGTTTCCTGACCTGGGCCCCAGTTAGTGGATAGATAAATAGATAGATGGACATAGACTCGGACATCTTTAGGTTTCAGCGCCATAGAGAAACATTGGAAGATCCGAATCTTTCATTTGTTTTATGGTGTTTATGCTACAAAAATTTAAAAACAATGTGCCAGGGGTACTTATAACACTGATTCCAGGTATCCTGAGAGGATGGGCAATGGAATTTATTTTATTCCATTTCCTAAACCCAAACAAAACGGAGCAAAATGTCACAAAGCATTCAACCCCAAGGAAGACGAAAATGTTCATTTTCTGGTTGTCATACTCTCATTAAGTTACAATTTGCATCTGCTCAAGCAGAACATTAATGTCATCTTGTGCTTCATCAAGGTGTCTCTGGCTAAAACTAGCTAATGTTAAAGTTAGTGAGACCACTAAAGTAAGTGAGTAAATAGCTAACTGTTCTCACGTCATATACAGTGTAGGTCAAAAACACATAAACGAAGGTCTACATTTCAGTGCCTCTCCATATTAAACTGGTTAAATGTAAATTAATTTAATCTTACCCTGCGGTACATGAATCCTGGATGTTGTCATCTGCGATCGTGACGATCGTAACATGATGCTTCTCCTGCTTGCATTGTGATCTGTAAACCCTCACTTCCAAATTAATCTTGTTACCCACCATATTTATTTTAAAGTCTTTTATATATCCCTCTATGGCATATTTAAGTCCCACTTGAATGGTGGTACTTTTGTGTCCAAAATTTATCAAAAACATCTTGGGACAAGGTTTTCACACTGACAGCTGTCATTGTAAGACAGCTAGAAACTCCATTTGTTTGTCCGAGTTCACAACAGAAACTAAGGGGGGCGAGGCTTACCATAAGTGCCATAAGTGCAATTGTTGAGAGAGGGAACAGTGAATGTTATGTGTCAGGTGTGTGTTCAAGTAGTTGCATTTGCTTATTATTGCCACTGTTAGTACATCGTTATAGGCATCTAAAGATGTATATGCCCTCAGTTTCTATTTACTATACACGCTCGGTTTCTCTATCTGGTAGGTGTGTCAGGCCACTCCTGTCAGATCGTCCATCCATTGAGTGAGTGTGTATGAGTCAGCCAATCTGGTTCCTTCCGTTAAAGTTAACATTTTCAAATAACAATCATGATCCCAGACAGTGAGTGACATTACATATTCAAATAAAATCAAATTCAGTCATTTTTTAATAAACAAGCAAACAAAAAATGCTAGCTAACGTTAGTGAAGCAGTCAGGGGAATCTTTCTGCCTCCACCTAAGCTCCGCCCATAAAAAAAGGTCACAGTGTTTACTAACTGAAAAGGGGTCTATTATTGAGGCTTTTTTCTTCATTATAATATCAGGACAGTTGTACCGCCATTTTTGACAATTTGCCCCAATTTGCAATTAATTGGAATTTTAAAATATGCTCATTATAGAAGATGTGTATTCAAGTCATGCATGAATTGAATTTGTATTTTTGAATAAATAGATAATGACAAAACAATTGTCACGTTATTGACCCATATGCCCTCACTATTTGGCTGCATGTGTTTGTGCAGGAGCAAACGGATGGAATGACGCTGGTGAAAGAGGAGGGTGATAAAGAGGAGGGCAAGCAGGAGCCAGAGGTGGTGTATGAGACCAACTGCCACTGGGAGGGTTGCTGCAGGGAATTTGACACCCAAGAGCAGCTTGTCCATGTGAGTGGACACCACATTTATGTTATCAATTGAAATATCAATTGAAATGTTTAGTCTCTTAATAGAATCATTCATGATAAGGCTCTTAGATAGGTGGAAAAGACACACATACACACACAAACACCTTGAAAGCCTATACTTGGCTTCAGACATCCCATTTGTCACAGCCACTCCCAAGCTTAAGCAGAGTGAAAGGACATGAAAGCCCACTTTCTGTAAAAATACACCAGTCCCCTTTAACCATTTCTCTCTGGACAACACACACAGACATTCTTTAACTACTCTTTTCTCCTATAATCCACACAAACACACACATTCACAGAAACACACACCAACCCCAAAGACATCTGATAGAAAGATTCCCAGTTCTCCACAGCTGTCTATCCCTACTCTGACATGGCAATCCATGGCAGCCATGCTAACCCCTATCTATAATTGAAAGCCTCCAGTTGGAATGGCCAGCATCACACATTTGAAGTCTTGTCCTCAAAGCTTAAAGATCTTGACAACTTTTTGCCTGTGCCTTTGAAAGAGGGATATATGTGCATTTTGCTATATGTAACAATTATTTTTCGGTTTTAGGCAAAATCTTTAATTCAGTAATTGAGTTGACAAATTACACAGACATTAATTTTCAAATCAAAATTTTAGACTACATTTAGTTAAAAATCTATACTGTGTGTGTGTGTGTGTGTTATACAATTATAAAATTATACAATCTAATTCATATAAAAAAACAACTGCTCATGCTATGTGTGTGTAGCATCTTTATTTGGATCATGATTAAAATGCAGTGTTTGCCTCTAATTTCAAATGCTTACAGATATTTTTGTTTTAAGCCAGTTTGCCTGTTATAGAGCAAATAAATAACAAATAACTTAGCTTAAAGGGGGAAAAAAAAGATAATTGGTTATATATATATGCATGTATGCATGATTTTATTCTATACAAACTATCCATTAACAATTGTTTTTAAGTAATAAATTAATGAAAAAAAATTTTGATATAAATATCCAACATTCCTCAAATCAGATTCTCGTCACATTGTTTTATATGTCTCTTTGTTTTCCAATTATTTTGCCTTTTTCAGTTATTGTGTTATATTTTTCCATTTTCTATGCTGCTGTTAAATCAGAAGACACATGCTAATAAAAATATTTGCCTACAGAGTCCCTGCCCTTAGATTCAGCTGAGCAAGGGATGAGGCTTCTTATCACTCTTTCCTCAGTAATAGGATGAGTGCAGTGTGTGGACCACAGTGAATCTCATCCAACAAAGGGTGGTGAGGAGGGTTGGATTTCCATATATCAAAGCAATATAAGACCACTCTCCATATCCCACAACCTCTATAAGTGTCACGTGTATGTTCCCGTTTAGTTCCTGTTGTCCTTATTTGGTCCTTCGAATTTTTGGAGGGAGAAAAATCAAAAAATTTAAGATTCCAAACATTCTCATTAAATGTTGGTAACACTTTCTATGAAGCCCATATTTATAACACATTATAAGGGTATCCTTAAGGGGACCTTATAATATGTTATATCATCTTATAAATAATCATAACAACAATTATATTACATTAAGCTAGTTAATAATTTCAACTGAAAAAAAAAATGCAATGTTTATATGTTAGGTTACATTTAATTTTGATGGTCCCCCTAGTCTATAAGCATAAGCAACTTTGCAACTACATGTCAGCTAACTCTCAGAGTATTAGTAGGCTTAGGTTAAGGTTAGGGTTGGTAGAATGTTGATGTACTCGCAAAGTTACTTATAGTCAGTTTGTCTGTTGGGGAACCGTCAAAATAATCAAACTGATATTACATTAAAAATAGTTCAAAGCAAATATGTCTTATTACACATTCATCTGATCTGATCTGATATCTGATCTTATGGCTGTTTGAGAAAAAATTGTATTATTATTATTATTATTACTATACTTATAAGTGGTCTTTGATGGCTTTAAGTAAAGTAGCATAAGAAAGATGAGAAATATAATCCATTGTAACTTAAGTGGATGTAACATGTTCACTGTGTGTTATAAATCATCATACTCTTAAAAGCTGTAACCACAAATAAGTAAATATTATAAAACATTAAAACTGTTCTTATGAATATTCATAAGGTGATATAACATATTATAAGGGTTTTTATAATGCATTATGCATTCATTATAATGCCTTAAGAATACCCTTATAATGTATTATAAATATGGACTTCATAGAAAGTGTTACCCAAATGTTTTATCAAACTTTTATTTAGATTTACTAACCTACATCATTGATGTGCTAGCAGTTTTTATATAGTTAAATGATGTTCTAAAATATCATAGTGGCTCAGTGATGTCTATGTATTTTTTCCTACATAGCACAGTCTAATTTTAGGTTGGAATATAGTTTTTTTTGTGATGCTGGTGTGCGTTTTCAGCTATGTGAAACATGCTCACACCATGACGTATGGCTGGGCTCTTTTATCAACACAGCTTTAGCACTCTCGATAAGATAAACATCAAATCTCTGCAACTTAGCACACTTATCTGCTCTACACAGTCAGCATAAACTAGCTGGGTGTCAATTTGTGCTGATTTATTTAATAATTTTTCCCTTTTTCTTTATTTCTATTTTACTTATTCCCTTGTATTTTCAAACAATCTGGCCCTTATACCCCGACTACAGGTGCCTTGGTTCTCTCCCAGTCTTTCTCCTTGCCTCCTTCTCAGTAGGGATACTCTAAATTATAGGGGCTTTTTATTGTTGCTGATGAGAGTGGGTTTGCTGCTAAAACCAGGTTCCCCAGTGGTGAATGAAATAGAGAGACATGAAATGTTTGTAACCCCCCTTAAAAATAGTGATTTTTTCCCTGTCCCACTTCTGAAGTCTTGACCTTCTTTGACTATATCCAACAATTAAAATCATATAACAGAATTCTATCCATTTTTTGACATTATCTGTTGAATTGATATTCAATTTGTTGTAGTAAAATACTGTTTTAAAGGGGTCATATGATGCGATTTCAATTGTTCCTTTCTCTTTGGAGTGTTACAAGCTCTTGGAGCATAAAGAAGATCTGTAAAGTTGCAAAGACTAAAGTCTCAAATCCAAAGAGATATTCTTTATAAAAGTTAAGAGTTAACCACGCCTACCTAAAACGGCTCGTTCTAACACGCCCCCACATATCTACCTCACTATGTGGGAAGATTTGCATAACGCTGCCCAAATGTTCACGCAAAGAAGGAAGCGTATCTTTTATTCTCACTGTAGTATTGTTGTTGGCGCTGCCGCCATGTCCTGAAGACGCTGTGTGCTTCGTTGTGAAAGCGAAACTACTTTGTTTGATCTTCCAAAAGAGGAC